CTTTCATACTCAACTTTTTGCAAATGTCTAAGGCTAATTAGAAACTAGAAGATTAGCGCTTTCAAACAAGCACCTGACTTTTTCCAGCGATCATTTCTCTCAAAAAATAGTCCCGTTGTTCCGTTTTTGGGGGTTTGTGGTCCGATTTTTGAGAAGGCGCGAGTTTTCGACATTCAAACGTTCATAACTTTCTTCATATCAACTTTTTGCAGATGTCTAAGGCTAATTAGAAACTAGAAGATTAGAGCTTTCGAATAAGTGCTAAAACTTTTGAAATAATCACTCGCTCAAAAAATAGTCCCGTTGTTCCGTTTTTTCCACCTTGATTTTTTCAAGCCATTTTCCTGGACCGCGACTATGCAGTCTTCAAAGGCCCATAACTTCCTTCAAAATTAATGTGATGAGAAGCGGTAAAGACTGTTAGAATCTACTCGAAGAAACTGTGAAATTTTCCTGAAATTCTTTCTTCTGCCTCAATTTTCCTACGGCGTCTCTAGAACTCAATTCAGCAAATTCGCTACACTTTGTTTCCGCTTAGATTTGATTTGAAAGCATCGAAATTCTCTTCAGGAAGTTTGTCTGCTTCACGGCCGCTGACAGAGAAGGCGTTTTATGGGAAAACGCCTGCTCGGGTATACGCCGTGCACCTGTCTGTGGACAGAAGTCGCACTCGCATTTGAAGTCCTCCATTTTCCTGAAGAAGGTCCATGAACTGCTCTACACTTTGTTCTCCTTGGGATTTCAGGAATGTTCGATCATCGAAGACAGACCATGTTTTTGCACTACGCTGTAACAAAGTTTTTGGCTATTGTAATCTTGATCTATGCTGTCGAGCGAAAGCGCCGTCCGTGTATTAAGGATAATAATGGCTGATAGTGAGACTTATAATGCTCTGCATGCTCTAATGCTCCCATGGAGCTCTTGTCTGTGTGACTCTCCGACAGCTGCACGGTGCAGAGCTCCTGGAGAACATTAGAGCGTGAACACTGCACTTTCAAGCCGCCTTGCAGCCCCGTCTCTCTAGATACGACCCCCTCGTTGTTCATTGCGGAACGGGCAGTTGGCCCTGCCTACGATGCGCAGGCGATGATAACGTCAGTTCTAAAATAAAATTAATTGGCAAGTAACATCTAGCGGCATTTCAACGTAACAGAGAAGGTCTTATTAACAACAGTTCAGCTCTTTAATAAGTTGGAACCACCACAGATGGAAAATTTAAGACTTCGAAAGTTACAGTTACCACCAGGACAATTATCAGATGCAGAAACTAGCTCTCCCTTGTTGACTTTCTTACTCCCAAAGTGGACAAATTGAATGTGGAAACATTTTGACACGCTTAGTTGCGAGCAGGTGGTGGGTCTCAATCTCGATCTGTTTTACTTCTGATGTGTGTGACAAACACTTTCCTGAGGTTCGTTCGTTCTATCAAGCTACTATACGTTTTAACGTCTTAATATCTCTGTTCTCATAATTTTGCCGTCCCCCACCCTCTGTGCACCAACTATGTAGCTTCTCCTTTTACTTTTTCAGAATTGCTTTCTTGGTGCCAGAGTCGAACTAGTCATAGTTTTATACAGTTAGTTATATATAGTTTTTTTTAAGTCCTTGATACAATTGCTTAGGGTAGATACAATTGCCTAGGGATGCTGATTATGGGCAGATAGCAGCATCAACCCTGATTCGAACATGGACCTAGCTCCTAGCATTAGCGAAGGATTTTGCCTATAGCTTAGCGTTATTTTGGCAGTATTTCCATACCGAACTGCGGTTGAGAGCAGCATTAAACAAATCAGACAAATTAAAGAAAAAATGGGAAATAAAGGTTTGGGTCCGGTTGATTACTAACCAGAAAACAGACTCAAGTGAATGAGTCGGGAAGATAGGAACGAAAGACAGAATGGGCTCCGACTAGGGAGAGCGGAAGTAGAAACAGCCAGTAAGTTGTACCTCCAAAGTTTCTTTAGCTTTTTCTCAAGCACGTCCACCGCCTTCAAACGTCTTCGTTTGGGGAAATTGAAGTCACATGCAAGTTTCACTTTTTGAAAGACCACAAGCTTCTCAGTTGTTGCAGTCGAGTTTCCTACTGCATGGATCGTGGAGCGGTGTTCCAGGACTTCCAAAGTTGGGCACATCGGCTCGATGTGGCGCTTTCTTTTTTTTTACTTTCCTTGGAACAGTCTGCAAGAGTAATTCTTTTGCCACTGGAGAAGTTTCTTGTCATGTGTTAAACTTCCAGAGCTGAGTGAACAGCTTTTTTTTCTGAATTCCTGACATTCAAATACAAGAGGGATAGGCTCAGGTGCTAGGTATTCTCAGAGAATTTGGTAGCATTCTCATCATTCTGGGAAGTTTATGATCCGTTATGCAACATCTTCTGTTCAGCGTTCGTCCTCAAGATCGACCTCCACTGAATCTGCGACTAGTATGTGGTGAAATAGAGCTCCCGCAAAAGTCTGAAAAGTTACCCGGCAAAGGTATTTCTTCCATATTTTTCCTCTCCAAGACCACAGCTCATTTCACTTCATAGGCATTCTGCGCCGCGACTGGCCGTCGAAATATTTGGAAAGGGTTCCAGCATTGATTGTGCTATTCCTTGATCTTGATTGGGATCACTCGTCGTGGAATGAGAAAAAAACTGAAGCCGAGAGCAAATGCGCTAGCCTCCGATCCAGTGCGGGACATTCGAGCAGATTGGCTGTGGTTCTGCTGCAACAAAGGTGGCTCCATTTGATTCATTCTATGTAGTTGGGTTCATTAGATTTCTCATAACATCTTCTTTTTAACATATTCTTTTTTTTGGTTTTTTTTGCGTCGTATCCAGAATTATTCCTCCTCCTTATAACACTCAAACTGATTAGAGGCAATCCTATTATAGTGACATTCCAATGGAATGATATTAGGTCTCAGAGATCGTAATCTTTGTCTTTGATTAAACTGTGCACTGAAGAGGAGGTTCGTAGATGCAGTCGTGGCCCAGGGGTTTCTTGGATCACACTGAAGTGTGCTCTGAAAATATCCTGAATATTCTTGGAGTTGGGGAGAAATCCCTACAGATCATATTTGTTTCCTCATTAAGACCATTATCAAAGGGCTCTCGTAGCATATGTGTGTAAACAATAATAGAGATGTAGTATGTAACTATTGCAGCAATCACAAATAATAATTTAAAGGGACTTCTCCCTGTGATCGGCCGGTGGAGAGCTGTATATAGAACATGATCGTTTAAGATCCCTGTGATTTTATCTCTTAGATATCTGTCTTTTCCAGATATAATAAAGATTCGAGGCTCGTGCGACTTTGCCACAGAAGCGCACTACCTGATTTAGGTCTGTTCCAACTTCGGGTGATGATCCGTTAGCTACAGAACGTGCACACGAACTATGCCAGATATGTCATCTAACGCCTCGCCAGCTTTTCGTTGTACCTATGCTGGGTGATCTTACGGTGAGCATTACCGCTCTTTTTGTTCTTGAAATGGCCACTGAAAACTTGCAAGTAAATCGTCATTAGTTTAGGGTTATGTCGCAAAATTAGAGTCTGCCTTCCATGAATTAGCACAAGGTTTCTATCAACAAAAGTTGAAGGTTGGTTTTTCACAGTTTCAGTTTTACCGGTTTCTACCTATGAGCGACTTCAGACGATCCGTGCCCGTTCTATTCCTAACAATTCTCCGGCTTTGGTCGTTCGACAATTGTTTAAATTGGCCTTCATTTCTGAGCTACGACAGGATACCCACACAGCGTATCGGTCAGTTTCGTGAGCTTCTCAATTTTTTAGCCTCAGTCTCAAAATCTTTTCGATCTGCTTTGGATTGTTTTATACTGAATAACCCTCAGCCGTTCTATGGCATTCTATTTCCTTTGATTGATGGTATACTTTTGAAGCAAGGTCGTTGGTATGGACCAATAGCATGCATTATCAATAGCTCTCACAATCAGATGGGTCTGGGATTTGAGCGCTACTTGCACGGAAGATCCACGTAGAGGGTGGCAGCATGTGAGCTTGATTTCTCTGGCCTTCACATGACCTGACATAGAACTCGGTACCTCCTGGTTATTTGAATTGCTAAATTGCTACCGGTTCCACTCATTTTTGAATACGGTTGTCAAACTCTGCAAAGAATGCATTTCATTTCAAGTTAGTAAGTCGGAAGGAAAGAATACTTGATTCTCCTCCTATCAAAGAATATTAGGAGGCGCAGGTAACGCGACACTCTACAGTGCGGTATCATTCATTATTGAGGGACACTTGTTTCAGCTGTTCATTGATTTGGTGTATATCCAAAATTTCCAACGCTTTCCTCGTCGAAATTATTTTCTCGTGAACAAGCAAGGTGCACTTGATCGAAAGCTGTCTCATGCTAGCTAGATACTTTAATTTTCTATTTTTATAGCTATTAGGTCGGTCCATAATTTTTGAGACACTTTACATGTATTGTTGTAAAAATCTTTTGATAAGTATTGAAGCTTTCCAAGATGTCCTGCAACCCAGCACACAAGCTCGCCTATCCGACAGGCTAGCCATCTCGTTTGCTTGTTGCTTTCTTTAGCTAGGATTCCAATTTCTTTGAAACCTATTTCTGAGCCTCTTTCTTCATGACTACCGATTAGGATCTTCCACGCGCCAAGCTATATGGAGGATTAACCAGAAGATAGTTGAGGGCACGCTCTCTCAATCCACGGTGCTCCGGTGGTTACCTCTACTCAGGGTTCCCTCCTTTTATTCGAAGATGATCCACACTCCAACCACCCCGTGACTGGCAATCTCGATGCTCTATCCGGCGCCATTGAAAAGGAATCTGAACAAAGTGGGCGCTGTTTGTCAGAGCGCTTTTGGTGTTACAAGGTGAGAGTACTGAGACATCTCGATAAAGTCGCTAAGGTTTGAATATATGGAGTTTGTCTCTCACATGCTCTGAGCCCGAATCAGCTCTAAACCCGATCTGACATCATCATGTTCCTGTTGGTTTCCCATAGTTCCTTCGAATGACCATCCGGCATACTCGGTGATGTGGACTGGGTGCAGTGTGCTAACAAATCCACAAGCCGCAGTAGCTTGCTTAAACGTTTCGGGAGTTCTGACAGCAAAAGCCCAACTCCCTCTGAATTCTAACTTCCTGAGTTATTGAAGAATACGAGAGGGGCTTTGCATCGGTAACCGAAAAATAATACCATGGTGAAGAGAACTGTCGACGGCTTGATGGCGACGGGTGCGTGACTATTCAATCGTGGCGATGGCTAGGTCGCCGCGCCAGCCGCCGCAGCCCGCGATGCGACGTCGGCCGTGGCTAGAATTCAGGGTTCTAGCATTGGGGAATGTAGGATTAGATGAAGTTTCCAGTCGTGAAACACGGTATATGATCACCTGCCCCTTAAATACAGGATCCTTGTCCTTTGCCATTATTTACAAACTTATTCTGTCATACTGATGTTATGCCTTCCTCACCGTTCCACTGCGTCTTGGAACGTAATATTTTCCGATTTAGCCAGATTATCGCTCTCTGATAACAATTCAGGCAGTTGATTAATAAAGAAGTCTCATTATGTTCAAAAGGACAACCTTTACATGGCACAAGCTCTGTACAGTGAGGCTTAAATAACTGCGGAGATCTTAAGGTGACTCTTGTTGGCTCACTGATGTCTGGAACTTTGGTCTTATCAGTTCTCTAACCCCACCAGCAACTTATGGACAAGGATCGTCGCACTATATGGCGCGCGCGACGCTGCCCGCCGCGTGAGCGGCGTGACCTCATTAGCCGACGATTGAATTGACCGTCTCCCGAGAGTAAGGTGCGAGGTAACGACAGCGAAGAGGGAAAGGTCAGTACTGACCAAAGGTGCACACCCATTTTTGCGATACTCAGGTCAAGATCATTCCACGAATGAGTCTGTTCTCAGCAGCCATCTTTCGCGCTCGGTATCGTGCGCAGCTCAACTGGTGTTGAATAAATACATCAGAGAAATAAAATAAGTAGCTGGATGGAAAAACATCCCAAGTGTCTCAAAAGTTACGGACCGACCTAATAATTCTAGTGTTTTCATAAGTTTTGTCCAGTTTATCGAGAATATTCACTTGAAAGATTTGATTTGTGGTCATCTTATAATTGCATATATAAATTTGCAGGAATTATCGCCTAGCATACGAACATTGCAAGGATCATGTGGAAAGCTGGGATGCTGTTGATATTTTCGAATGGCGCAGCGTTGTTGGTTTGCTCAACTACAAAGTGGGTTAACAGAAAGCTTATGAATCTAGATATGACACTCGTAGAGCAGTTTCCTTAGTTTGCTTCACACTTGTTGTGTTCAGATGCGTGGGTCACATGATCTGCATACTGCGAAAGAGTAGCTATCCATGACTGGTCTTACCTCATGTAGAGAAAATTCGTGTTCAGATTTGTGAGTTGTGTTTTCTGCATAATATGGCCGTGGAGGCGATCAATCAAATGCGCCGTCATCAAGCGGTCTTCTTTGCCGGTCCCACCGGTGTCTATCCGACACCTCAATTAGCAAACATTGAGTTGCAGTTGTGGAACGCAAAGCAGGTATTAGGCGACTTTCTTGGTTTTCTACGGTATGTTTGGATCCGGCAAGTCGTTCCTTATTCATTTTTTTTTACTTCAGTGTTGGCATTTTGCGCAGCTTTTTGAGCAAGCTGTCGTTAGTGGGCTGACCGCTTTGGCCACTTTGAATCCAGGCACACATCTTGACTTGGCTGCATCTCTTTACTCAGCCGTTAACAAAAATATATTGGCGCTTAAAAAGAGTAAGTTGTTTAATGTATTATTATGTTGGGTATTTTTATTTATTCCGGAGTTTAGGTAATCCAGTAATGAAGCCCTATCCAGTTCCTGATCCAATGGCCAATAATCAGAGTACTGTGAGTTATGTCACTTCTCTTTGTATACTATGCTCAGGTTGCTGATCTTCGGTGTGAGCAGCCTACAGCAATTACGTGCTTGAAATTTCTAGGTGTTCTTCGGTCAACGTCCATGGAGAATCGGCTATGATGGACTTGCTCCACCCAGTGTGGAAGAAGATGCTGTTACTGCCATCCTGGTGAGATCTTTACCACTATCTTCCACTCCATTGAGTTGAGCGATCTGTTGTGCTATATCAACGGATTTTAATTTGTTATTTCACACCTGATTTTCAAGATAGCCGTTTAGCATCGACTGGTCGTTAACTATGAAGGCGTTATTTCTCTGTTAAATGCAGCGATGGCTCAGTTCAAGAAATACGGTTGTTTCCGTATGTATCGTAAAGGAATAATTGAGGTGAGCTGTTTTGTTTTATTCTGAAGATGTCATCTTAAGAGCTCGCAAACGGTAATGGTTGCAAAAGTAAGTTTAATAGTTTATTGATCACTATTCGTTAGCATTTGAATGTTTATTGGTGAACATGTTCCCAAATTCAAAACTTCATTCTTTTTTGAATCAACTTTTAGGACTTGACTGAATTTCGGGTTCTGATAGATCGAAAAGTGTGATTTAGTTCAATCATTCTTCATTGTCATCCTTTTTTGGTGGAACCTTCCAAATTCGAAAGATTTATTTCAGAAAGCTAACGTTTACTATTGGAGTGGTGATTTGGTACGTGCGTTACAGCTTTGGGTAGCTGTCGTGAGAGAAGGCATTCCACCTGCTGTGCGGTTAGACATTCTGCAAAAAGCGATCAGTGCTGCCTACTGCATAGCCTCTCTCAAGGTCAATTTTGTTGCATTTTTTTTTTACCAAGTATTAGGTGTTAGAAAGTTCTGTCGTTTTCTGAAACTTCACATTTGAGTGCTTCATTTTACTTGAAATCCAGAGAAACTGCCAACGGTCTAACGCTTAGCTCATCTTAGCTGTAGAACATTTTCTTATGAACTTTCTGAAGCTTCGAATGCGGTATACTCGATGAGCAAGTTGGCATGACTTTCTTTTTCTAGCTTTAAATAGACCTGAAAGTAGCGGGAACAGTTCAAGATATTAACGATGCACTTGGCCTAGATTCGCAATAAATGTGCTCAGAAGCAGTAGTTCAAAAAGTTATTGTAACGAAAGCGAGAGCCTTGGGTATGATGAGAGTGGTGGTCGGATATCGGACGTTGCCACCGATTAGCCAAAAGTTCTGATTGAGGCACTCGTGCGTAAGACCATAGAGGAGGTTCTGCCCAACCTGGGCGTATATGGTTTGTGGAGCCAAGCTATACGGAAGTAGCTGGAAAGTCCAAAAAATTTGATAGGGGCGTGCCGCGACAAATCACCAATTTGAAGGGTCGTCCATCAAATTGTAGCTTGTTTTATGTGATAAAAGCGACTCGTTTTTCTACAGATTTGCGACGTACAATGAAGAGCGGATTCTTCTCTACAGCCACGAAGCTTTGCTGAATAGCTCGACGGCGATCAAGCTCTACAAACTTTGCAAAACTTAAACTGTGCTGAAGGAGGGTTATGGCAACTTTCATCAGGTCAGCGGCTGGCCAAGTTCCCCGTATCAGGTGGAACTGTTACAGTGGAGGAGAACTCTTAACATTATGTCAAAATTCACCAAAAACTTCAAGATACGGGTTCCAGCATTCCTCATTATAAAGGGACGGACACATCCCTGACAGGTGTCTTACACGCACATCGCACAACCAACCCTGCACAAGTTGGACCAGCTAGGCTAAGAGTGGTGCTGCAGATATCCTACTCAGTATACCTCTGGCTATCAACTGTCACTTTTTGAGGGCCTCGATAGTTCCTTGAAGAGAAATGCTTCAAAACACAACCCGATGCTAAAACGACCTTCCCTCAGTTCATCGCCTCCAGAGCTCCAGCATTCTGAACAAACGTACCCACTGAAACGGTTTCTTATAGCGAAGGTTCGCGCATTCGAACGGTTTTTATTTCAACTTGAAAGGTTTGGTTTAAGCCGAGATACATGCATTTGAAATTCGGAGTGAAAAACGACAGAACTTTCTGAAACACCTAATAGGCACTATTTTAGGACTACGTCTGGTGTTGTGTTCAATTAATGTTGAACTCCCCAGCAGCTGAGGATGGACTACGTGCGGTGCTTCAGTGCCAGCCACCTGCACCACCGTTCTCACAGAATGATGTGACACCAGCGCAGGTAACCTGCTAAGATTTTGTTTTTCCAAGATGCCCATGCTTACCATTCAATCACGCTTCTGTATGTATAGTCTCTCTGCATTCATCTTAAATCAGCTCTAGCTATGGACTAGGCCATCTCATCGCGGTTTAATTTTCCTGCATCACCGTAATACCTATAACCGAACCTGTCCTATCCGTATTTGACCACAGCCTCTTGAAGCTGCCTCTTATTTTGGTGGTTTTGTTCACGTAAGTTCTCATGTCATCGAGCTGAACATTCGGTGATGGCAGCGTTGCAACTTTCGTGTTCTATGATCTAGATGTTGATTTTCAATATTTTGCTGTAGCAAGGAGGTACTTTAAGTGGAATTTTTCAAAGAAAACTAATTTTCCGCTTGCTGTTATGAACCAACCGTCTCCCTCTATGTTTGACGTCGGTTCCTTTTCCAGCGAACGACTTTCTTTGTGGATGGTGCGCACTTTTGAAATTCGAGCGGTGCGAATGAATTGTTCAAGCATGCTAAGCGCAGATGTGCGGTTTTCTGTATTTTCTAATTTCAAAAATATCGCTTTGTATCTTAATGGGTATCACTTTTCTCATGGAAGTGTCAGTACATCACAAAAATAGAACCTAATATTGTTAGGTCTCGAACCCGGACCCACCTAGCATTACGATTTATACTGTTTGAAGAGATTGCGTCCGTCGAGGCAGGGATAGCCGAGTGGTTAAGAGGTTAGACTCATGTCTGCACCTCCAAAAACCGCGAGTTCGATCCCTGCCGAGGCTCTAAACCATGCCTTGCAAAAATTGCAAAAATGGTTCTAGTACCAGCGTCAGGCCCAGGTTGACAGGCCGGCTGATGAAGACCCCAGTCACACCAACATGTCTAAAAGTCGCAAAAGAATCAGTGATAAAGCTAGGACGTCACCCGGAAGTGGCGCGCAGAACCCCCGCCCGAGTTCTGTGGTCAGTATGCGAGGGCTACCGAGGAGTGAACGGCCTCGGCCAAAGAAGCTAGTTCGAATTGGGACTCTGAACGTAGGATCGCTAACTGGGAAGTCCCGAGAGGTTGCTGATCTGATGACGCGCAGGAATATCCAAGTCCTATGCCTTCAGGAGACGCGATGGAAAGGTGCTAAGGCCAGGGAAATCGGGGAAGGTGTCAAGCTCTACTACAATGGAGAAGACACCAAGCGGAACGGCGTGGCCATAGCGGTAGCGGAGTCGCTCAAGGACTATGTCTCCGCTGTGAACAGGATCAGCGATCGGATCATGGCTGTGAGGATAGACACGAAGGAGGGGTACTGGACCAATACTCTCCGTGTACGCACCGCAAGCCGGATGCCCCGAAAGTGATAAGGACGAGTTCTATCTGAGCCTGGACGAAGCCATAAGATCGGTTCCGGAAGGCGATTACCTGACCATAGCAGGTGATCTGAATGGTCACGTCGGCAGTGACAGAAGAGGCCTGGAAAGGGTGCACGGAGGTAGAGGGATAGGAGTGAGGAACGCTGAGGGAGAGAGGGTTCTGGACCTGGCTACAGCCCACGACTTGGCAGTCGAATGGCGCAAGCGCGCGATTTCGGAGAGTAGAGACAAATCGATCGATAGAATAGGATGGAGTAGAAGTGTAAGATGTGAATGCAATAAAGCAGAAGGCCAGAAAGAGTTCTAGTGAAGGCACTCCAAGAACCAAGTGGAAGCATCCCCGTCGCCAGCATTTGTGAAAGACGTCCGTGAACGCGTAGCAGCCCTTTCGAATTTTTTTACCAAAACAAAAGCAATATTTCTGTTCTTTTCATTCTTATCGTGGATAATGAGTCTCAAGCCAGTGATTTATGGCTGAAATAGAATCATGATTTTTCCGTGAAGAAAATCTTTATTAAAATATTATTATGGTAACGAGAATTTACCCAAATCTAAACTTGTTTTATGTTAGCGAATATCATTTTGGTTGCTGCAGAATTTTATGGGATGTGCACCTCTACACCACTCCCTGCGTTTCTTTTCTACTACAATTGTGGTGTACTCGGTAAAGGCGTCTTACCGCTTTCGCTCACAGAACCAAATTTAGCCCCGGAGCAGCTGAGCCATCGCTCAAGGGCCAAGTGATGCATTCGAGTGATACTACATATCTACCGTTATGTTGAGTGGGGTGGAAAGCCAATATACGTTTTCCTAGTGGGATGCACATCTTGGTCCATAGTGATGTAATCGAATATGCTGATTTGGAAATTCATGGGCAAAAAAGTATAAGTCCCTTTACAAGCACTCATTTTCAATTTTTTTCCGCCTCCTCTATCACCTCATCTGCCTTCCCTTTCAGAATAACGGAACCCCATTTCGATGCATTCATTTTCAACGGATTTATTCGTGCGCATGGGTAAAGTTGAAATGCTAAAGTGTCAAAGAAATGTGAAGTCCGTATAAATGGTACGCAGATCGATTGATCAGAAAGAACTTATCGTAAGCCAGGGTCAGACTTTGTGAGTCGAGAGATTTCTAGTGCGTGGTCGCTTGGGGATCCAGCCAATCGAGCGACTCGCTGGCCGTGACGCTACCGCGGACGCCAGCGAATCGCTTGATTCAAAATGTTTGACATTGGCCATAAGGTGGTTATGGTACAAGCATTTTCGGTAGAAGCCATTCATTCACCCAAAAAGTGGCAAATTTTTCATAGAAATCAGTGATCTTGTTATTTGTACAGCATAAACAATTTTCATTGGTTAAACCGCTGATAGTTCTTCAGGTAGATCCTTTTTCGACGCCCTTACATTTTAATGTTGAGTACGAATTTTCACTGATGTTCGCTAAGGCATTGTCGATCTCTGTCTGGCGTTACAGGAAAACCATTTTCTCCAGAAAACAGGCTGGGAGTTGATAAATGTTCCCATTTCTTCTACACACCCTCATGGGCCATGGGTTATCGTTTGTGCTTTGATTATACACTTGATTCTTTTGTTAATTTTTTCTTTTTCAATTTGGGAAACCCCGACACATAACCAGTTTTTAAAATTTGTGACTAGGCAATGACGCGGCTGCTGATTGTCACCAATTATACGGCTTTGATTGCTCCCTAAGGATCGTCGAATTCGATTAAGTGCGCTATGAACAACGTCAGCGTTTTCGAATCCATGCTAAAAATAGCTTGGCCCTGGTCGGTAGCTCGTCTCTTTGAGTACTTGAAAGAACTGAAAAAGGGCTCCGTACTGATCAATTCCTACTTGTAGATTAGGTTTCAGTTTCGGAACTGCTTGATGCTCAAATAACTTAGCTCGCGAAAAAAGGGAAAGAGAAAAGCGAAAGTTACTGCTGCTCAGTTGCAGATGATTCAGTATCAACACAACTGGGCAAAGGTCTTCACTGAGCACCAATTCTTCAGCATACAGGCTTCCCACCTTGACACCTTTGTGACTGTCCAGGTAGTTACTTATTATAATGAACTTCTAGGTAGTCTTCATAATTTTTCATCGACAATTGATTTAGGCAGCATTTCTTGAAGACGATGCTGTGCGGATGGACGCAAAAGTTCCGGTTCGTATCTGCCTGAAATCGTCAGCTATGCATCCGATCAGGTGCCCCATTTTATAAAGATTCAGTTTTTAGCTTCAGTAATTTGACTCGATGAAATTTCGTGCTGTAATGAAAGCATGAGTCCTGAATAGTCACTTTTGCAATATCAATGGAATCGGGAGAAACTTGAGGGGCTGCAAACCAGTCCCTCCTCATTTTTTTTTTTGGAGTGATATAGGTTGACTTCGATGTTTACACCTGTGCTGAGTATGCTATCCTATCTCTGGAAGGAGGCGCCGGAAATCCCTTCAGAATTTGTTTCGCTTCTAACTAAATGGAATTCCCCTAAGGGTCTAATCGAGAGTTTATTTCGATACACTCAAAGTTATGCACAGTCACCTGAGATATTCCACGGAGGAAAAGCAATGAAGCGATGAATTTGTGTTTGTAAAGGCAAAAACGCGGTAAAGGTAAGAGAACTGTGATGTTTTGCGAAACGGATGAATTCGAGAGTTTTCTTTCCTTCCCCCTTCTTCCCTCCATTCGCGGCTGAAGTTCACGAAGCGTCTTCATGAAGTGTCTGTGCCATCTCCATTACCCATCGAGGCCAGGATCGGTTTACCTGATGATGTTTTTGGCAAGTAAACTCTAGTTTTCTTTGCATGTTTAAAAATGCAGAAATGATCAACGCCTCTGCGTTGTTTTGAATTGAAGTACTAGTTTGGGCATCTTTAACTTGTCTTTAACTCTCAGCATCTTTAACTTATAACTAATCAACTTCGATCAGAACATAAAAATCGATGACATGCATCGTGATGCTAACACCTTTTGAAAGTTGAAACCTTTCCATACCGTAAATTATGCTTAGTCATGCAAATGGCAAATTGAATTTGATGATAACTACTTTCGGAAACAGTAAGCAATATCTGCATAAGTGACTTTTTCGAAACAAACCTTTCGAAATAATCTCCATTTTTTCCGCTGACGCTACAATGCTGGGGTGCTGTTGCTTCTCGTTCAGACGCCTCGACTTTGGACCCATTGTAGACATCTTAACATTAGGTTCCCTTTCCGTTTACTGGCCAGAAATGAATAACTGCCATTTTCGGCTGATATCAACGCGTTCAGTCTTGACCATGTTTCGAATCTTTTCTTTAAATTGGAAATCATATACTTGTTTTCAATAAATGTACAGGTTTTCCACGCCTTGCAACCACCTACTCCCCGTGCGGCTCTCGCCGCCCACCGCAGTTGTTGATAATAAACGACGTCACTCCCGTCCTAAGGTGGAGTGTTGTGCGGCGGTTGCTTTCTTTTTCGCATTACTCCTCACCCCCATACATTTATCATGCTCTTGATTAGGAGGCATTTTCAAGTCTCAATAGTCTTTTATTGAATTAAACTTGATTTTTGACCCCTTAATTGTAGACTTCAAATTGTTCATGTGAAGGTTCGGTACTCGTCAGACTAACCGATTGCAAAATAAAAAGTTGGAAGCATCAGTATGTGACTCCTGTAAGTCTCTCGTTTCACGCCACGCATCCTACTTTCACTGGGAATCTTACTTGTTTGTGAAATTGGAATTGGTTTGGCGTATGCAGTGATTTCGCGGGTCAACCGTTAGACAAGGTAGTGTTTACATTCTCCCCACAAGTTAATAATAATCGTTTGGAGAGATAATTGCTGTAAAATTGGACTGGATGTTCTTTGTGAAGCAATCTAGTCGTCGCTCAATCGTTATAAAATTTTGATGAATCCGTGGAGGATGACAGTGCTCGAAGGCTTCCAAAGTATTATCATTTTTTGACATCTAAGCGAATAAAGCTCTTGCCAACTACTTTCAAACTGCAACGTACGCAACGTTTTTCTCTACAACAGGCGGTACTAGTGAAAACCAGACTGGCCTTTCCTTCTTCAATGTATGGGCGAAGGTGGCAGTGACAAGTGGTGCCACTTATCACTACTACTGCGATCCGTAGGCAAAATTCAGGATCAAATGCACCCCAGGCAGGCCAAGGCCTAGATTTCTACGCGTCAGCCAGTGCGTCCGCAGTTAAATGACAATCAAATGCCACACGATTCTGAATGGAAGCAAAATGCATGGTGCATCCGATGAGGCGTTGTTATGCGTTCAGTCACGTTCGCTACTCTTTTGATCGCTTCAGTTCTAGAATGTTTTTCATGATTTGCGTACAAATTTAGATGTAGTGAAGTGAATAATTGGCGAGCGTAATCTGGACACAGCAGCGGTCAAAAGTTCGGAAAATTTTTAGTCTTGATCTAGCGCGGCGATTTACTGAATTGGCCTCAATTGATATGTAAAGTCAAGCGTGGAATACGATATGGAGCACAATTTCCTCAAGTCGAAAGACGCAAAAGAAAAATACGGTTTTTTTTTCTCTAAAAATGACTCATTGAAAGTTTGGAAACTTTTGTTTTCCTCATCATTATATAAATTTAAGCATTCAAATGTTTGCGTGGTTTAATAGAATAACATAAACACAAATAAAGAAGAAACATTACATCCATGGGAGAGGATTGTACAAAGGCTGATGTCCGGAATAAAGAAAGAAGTTATTATTAGTTCGATCATGAGTTTAATTCAATCTAAAGCGCTATCATCGCTGCTTTTTCAGACTCCAGATAGCACATAGAGAACGAACCCTCATGAAAGACAGCCTCACAAACACTGACATTTTTTAAATATGCTCGCGACAAGCGCATTTTTGCTGTGCGTGCAAGGAACGGGGCAGTTTTTTTTTGCGCGGCGGGTGCGGCTCTAGTCGTCGTGCCGTCACATGGGGCAGGCTTTATTGCTTACAAGAATGTAACTTCAGTAGGTTGGCAAACCTTTACCGTAACCCCTTGGCGTCAGATGAATCGTGTTGTGCAAATGAAATGCACACCACACCACAGTTCACGCCGGCAAGTTCTTGAGATTTCATGAGGGGTAGTCTGGAGAATACATTTCTTGATACTCGAAAGTAGCCGAAACGTATGAGTTTTCTGTCACGGTAATGATCATATGCCAGATCACGTCCTCATTGCCGCTTCCCAAACCAAAAAGTGTCGCTATGAAGCTTCTTAATTTTAGTTTGTCGGCCGTGGTCATCGGCTGCGATGTTGAACGACGGCGCCGTGCCGCCGCTACGGTTGCGGATGTCGCGCCATTTATACAAGCTTCACGGCAGTCGATCACACTGGAGCCTCAAAAGAAAACCACCGTAATTGTTATGCTCGACCTGTCCACAGCGCAGATTCAGAAAGGGCAAACGCTATGGGTGAGTGATTGTTGCTCCACTGTCTGTTCATCGCAGTTCACCGTATAAATACCAATGGGTGCAGAAAGCTTTGTCGCAGAGTGACTTGTTTTCATTTGTTTTTGTTTTATGAAAGTGCTTAGATAATTGCTCACTCAACTGAGTCATTGTTTTAAGGGTGCATTTTACGGTTACAACATGGGATTATTCCGCTTGGAAATGTGGGGAAAAATATTATTCGGCGGTTTGTGCCACGACTAAGAGGTGCTGGGCGCTGAAGCGCGACAATAGGCCAAGAAGTGAAGCGGAGAAGGTGCGGACTTCCCGTTGAATAGACATTGCGTCGCGGGTAATAGCGGGTACACCCGAAAGCTCGAATGAGGCCCTTGCCGCGTACTTCGAGCAGCGAGAAAGACACTTGCTCGGCCTTTATAACCAGCGCTTTCCTATATACCTGAGCCACTTCATGAAATATAGCTCAGGTTTTTACACAGACCAATTCTCGGTTGTGAGGAGGTGAATTCGTGGCTCATTAGAAGAATCGGTCTGGTCAAATATTGGCGCTGAAGGTGTTTGCAAGTAGCTGTAAGCACATTTCTCGATCTAAACCATTGAAATTCAGCTCGGAAATGACTCATAGTTGCCAAGGGAATGGTCAGGGGGAAAACAATTAGCGCATTGGAAACCTTCGAGACAAAAACTGTGATCACGTGATACATGGAGTGGTCACATGGGTTGTGTAGAGGGCAGGAGTTTCCAAGTAGACGACGGTGGCGCTTTCGCGGTGGAAGGCACACTATCAGTGGCGTGACAAGGCGCTGAGGGTGTCCCCAAAATTCACTCCAGATCTCAGACACGACCACCGCGCTGCGAACTTCGTGTAACTTCACCCCAATAACCTTTATAATAGCGGAAGAAAGCTCGCCCACCCCCGAAATGAATGGGTGAATGCGGGGGAGGGTTTTCTCCAAGATTTGATCGTTTGTCTTGTTTTTTCTCTCACCAGGAGGGTCTTTCAGTTCACACAGTGGGGCTGCTTGGTGTCACACCTTCTTACACCAGTTTTTAAGTCAAAGTCTTTTTGTAAGGGTTACTGACGGTCCTAATCATGAATATGGTACTAATTATTCATGCTAACTCCATTTTGCGCGAATTTTGGAACGTCAACTCGAAATGCAAAAATTTGTCACCACGAGGAATCGAACTAGGGACCCCTTTTCTGGTATTCAGAGGGCCGTTCAGGAAAAATGAACCATGGTTCTGTGGTTCCCGCATGTGCCCCTATATCATGCAAAAGACCGTTTTCAAAAAGCTTGGCACGCCCTGAAAGACCTTCCTGGTCAGAGGCCACCGTGTGTATTACTCTTCTATGTTTCAAAGGTATGAATCCATCGCAAAGGCCGCCTTTGAAAACCTCTATTCCTATGAGATAGACAGTGTTGTGATGGAGACTGGGATGCCGAAGAGAATCAAGAGGCGAGAGAAATAGCAGTGATAGAGGCTTGGTGCGTGAGACGTTGTGCTACGGTGCGGCCGATTCAGCAAGTGTGACACTGTATCGACACGCTTCTACGAGCCGGAGGGTGGCTTATTTTTTGCATAAGTGGGCAACTCTACCTTACCCGCAGTAGTGCTTGGTTCATTCAACTTAGTAGTAAAATGGGCCTTCACTTATATGCTTTTAGATCACACGGGTTTCCTTGGAGTTGGGCGACCGTCATTCCAAAATGTTCGGTCAGTTGGAGTACAACTTTGACCACACGCCGTCGTTACAATCACAACGCCCACGATCCGAATTTGGGTGCAGTTCCTTAAAGTACGTTATTTTGCCCAAGACGAGGTGTTGACAAAGATGTGAAGTCAACTTAAGGATTGCCGCCTCCGATGGTGAGTTGGTAGCGAATGCGGCTACAACTCGCGTGAACTGTCTGGTCGCGGAAATTGCTGCCACTACGCTTGAGTTGAAGAATACGTGCAACTGCAGAGTGGAGTCCGTTCGGTAAGATGAACAAACTATGCATTGTGTTATTTAACCCTTTCGGCCCTGGCGGTGGCAATTGCCACCACCAAATTCAAACGCTTGCATTGCCGCTGAAACAGCATGGTTTTTCTAATCCTGCTAGAGGTTGCTTCAGTCAACCTTCCCCTTCCTAATTATGAGCTAAACCTGCCATTTCATTGTGTGTTGCTGTTAGTATTACAAGTATTTGTGTACAAGTGCAACAATGAATCGGCGCTGGTCCCCGCAACCGGCCAAGTAAGTGTCACTTTTTCTTAAAATACTTGAAGTAGATCCATTCCTAAATCAAAATTATGGGTTATAATGTTATGCAAGATTATAAACTTTTTCGGCATAACTATGAAATTTCGAATTGTTTCGACATAAGCTTAAAAACTAAGAAGGTGGGCCAATTTTCAAAGCTTCCTAGTTTCTTTGTTTGTGATCGAATAGCTTCCAAATTTCGCCATAATGATACCTATATGCTCACAAGTAATAAACAATAGCTAGAAGAAAAATTTCTCCACGGGGAAAAATTCAGGTCCGAAAGGGTTAAACTACTTTGTGAATTGAAAAGCTTTTCTTTTGTCTTGCCGTAAGCGCTGCTTTTCTGTGTAGTGCATACTGTTTTCCAAAAAGAAGATCCTTCTTCCACGAATTGAAAGGAAAAATATTTGGCAGTAGGTTGTGCCTTGTGATGCGCCACGCGTTCTACCTCTATTCAGAAATGAGACGCACCATTAGCTACAGAACGGTGCGTGGTTACCTTTTTAGGTGTGTTTTATGCAGCGTTACGGACTGGTATCAAACATCTTCATTTACAGTACAGCGTCCTGAAGATCGTGGGCGTATTAGTCAGAGTTTAATGTTATGCGCCCTATATATGCGATATAGCGTTTTTTATCCTGTGCTAGTGCAGATTCCGTAATAAAAGTCTCGCCCACAGAGGTGACCACGAGCTAATTTCAGCCGATGAATGATGAGAAATAGACAATAGTACAATTTTAATGGATACGATACTTTCCACAGCAAAAACAGAGCGCGCTGTACTACCGCAATGACGCGCTTATCGCTCGAAGGGCTCGACTCACAGTACAGGAGATTTTACTTGGGAGGAAGTAGCACATCTATTGGCTAGGTTAGCCAGATGGATTCTTCACATTATTTTGAGTCATGAGTTTTATATCTTGCGTTTCTGACATACCGATAGTTTATTTACAGATTTACGAGCTCCTGAAAACTGTCTAAAAATGGTCTGTAATCTCCGATTAGTCACTTTTCTACTGTCTTAATCTCAATGGGAGAAAACGATTGGGAATTTTTAGGACTTTAGTAGCAGCGAGCAGTAGCTTATTAGGGAGAGCATGCGAGTGAAACAAGTCGTTGTCGGTGGTGTGAGATGAGCGTGATTTGAGGGGTGAGGGAGAAGTACTAAGCTTTTTTACATAGCGTGCGTTGCGGACTCCTTACGCAGCACTCGCAGAAATAAACTGATTCTGTTCCAACTAATATGTGCAAACAACCTCTTCCGGAAAGCAGAGCGCTGACATAGCAGATTTGCCTATAAGAGCATCGATAAGTGCCATGTTTAGACTGGATTTCAAGCGTAACGAACAACAGACAACTGAAGCAATAGCAGTTTTTGTTTGTCGATTGTCGGATGAGAATGACGAACTTCGTTCCGAGCTTACGATAGTAGGAGCGCAATGTGTGGAATCTGGGGAGATGGTGAGTTTCTCGTCAATGTGTACACGGCAGATGTGCCATAGATATGCTAGCAATGTAATTATGATGCTAAAAATGGACTTTTAATTGAAACGCGATGAAAGTGCACAAATATTTTTCGTGCACTACAGTGGAGTAGCTGCAAATTGTTCGATGTGGTTGCCTCGGCACGAATTACGGTTCGTAGATTCTTCTAGTGCCATCAGCGGCGGTTTCCTAGGAAAATCCGGCCTAGGCTCTACTCAACCACTTGTTCGATGTTTCAGTTGTAGTTGTTCTAGGGAGCTAGCTTCACCTTTTAGTAGCGCTTGACGCAAAACGCTTGCAGTGAAGAGGAATGATGCCAGAATAAGTAACGAAAGGAGAAGTAAAAATAGGTTAGGAAATCGATGCAAAAACTTCATCTGCCTCAGGGTGTCCACATAATTTTGATACAAAGAAAAAACTTTCCATGAAAAATAGTTCGCTAAGTTAGAACGAAATCTTTTGCCGAAAATGTCATTGTAGGTTATCGACCACTAGGAGTTGAATGGTGGAGGTTTCATGACATAAAAGCCTTTAGCTGACCCCTGAGAATCGATTCCAGGGTGTCCACATACTTTTGGTACGCACTGTATATGTACCTACATGTGTTGCCTCAGCCAAGGATTTAGCTGCCCTTACGGGAGCCGCGCCGTTGGAGTGGAATTAAGTGACTTACCGCTCACCCTCTGCTTAAATAGTAGCGGACGTACTGTGACGGTCATTGCATGTGATATTGAAAAAACGTGACATTGGGCACGTAGTTAATTTAATAGTTGTAGAGCGTCACGTAGTTCGTCCTTACTATTTATTTCGGGTGATAGTTTTCTTATTTCTAATGCCTCCAATAGCCTCCTTTCCACCGGGTTCCCTATGGAGCGGTGTAATACCTTAATGGTCAACGAAGGCGGTTCCCCATATGTGTGCTTTGTGGTGCGGTGCTTGGAGAAGCTGCTGTTTGGATACGAGGCTGGGTTTTGTAACGCCCTTCTGTGTTCATCCAAACGCTTGTAAAGAGGCCTTTTTGATTCCCCAACATACTTTTGTCCGCATCCTTGACATTCTATCAAATAAACGGTACCCCTCAATTGGCAAATTTTATTGTCGTTGCAGTATGCACAATTCCTTCTGCCACATTTTTCTTCATATGGTCTTGAATAGGTGAGTAGATGTCTGAGATTGGGTGGTGGACGGAATATAAGGCGTATGGGGAGCTTTGACCTTTTGACCACACCATTAACTTTTTGTGCCGTACTCTCGTTCAGATACGGCATTACCATAGGAACACCATCTGGTGTTGAGTGTGGTCTCCATGTGCCAATATTGTGAACATGTGTACTTATGTAGCCGTTGTCCCTCAAATTTGGTCCACCGCGACATCTACTTCTTCCCATCTTTGTGTGCATCCAAAGCATGCATCCAAGCACCGCACCACAAAGCACACATATGGAAAACCGCCTTCGTTGACCATTAAGGTGTTACACCGCTCCATAGGGAACCCGGTGGAAAGGAGGCTATTGGAGGCATTAGAAATAAGAAAACTATCACCCGAAATAAATAGTAAGGACGAACTACGTGACGCTCTACAACTATTAAATTAACTACGTGCCCAATGTCACGTATTTTTTATATCACATGCAATGACCGTCACAGTACGTCCGCTACTATTTAAGCAGAGGGTGAGCGGTAAGTCACTTAATTCCACTCCAACGGCGCGGCTCCCGTAAGGGCAGCTAAATCCTTGGCTGAGGCATACACATGTAGGTACATATATGGGTTCGGGAAACCATCATATTGTTTTTACCAGTGGTTAAATCAATGTATTTCTGAAGAAGGTGTTAAACACCGAAATATAGCAGAAGATTTCAAAGGAGTTCTTTTTGAAACTTTTCGTGTTTTTTGGAATTTTGGAGTTTTTGAATATTTGTGAACTTTTGGGACTCTTTTGAAATAAATTTTGGTGCCTCTTTGTGTTTTATAACATTTAGGTCCTGATGAGGCTCCGGGACAGCACAATACTGAGAGATTTTCTTATAGTGTTATTTATGTGCTCACAAATAATAAACAACAAGAAAAAATTTTTGTTCCCACGGAAAAAATTCCAGGGCTGAAAGGGTTAAACAATTTTGGTCCGTGGAAAATGTGAATTATTGCGATCAAAGTGTACCTAAGGCGTCCATGAGCTTTAATTGGTATCAGGGCAGCTTCATCCTAACGATCTTGCAGCTGTTCTATCAATTCGATTCACCATTAATATATCTAGTGTTTCATCGTGTCCCATTGTGAATTGTGGTTAGAGTGTCATAAAGACTTGTTTACCATATTTATGGCGCACAACCCATTCTTCCTTAACCTTCACATTGTTTTTCATAGATTCATATTCCCGTTCGGTTTTCTGCGCAACTTGTTGGAAATATCGATTTGGAGTTGGAGGTAAGGCTAGTTCTGAAATATTAGCTACTGAAGCACTTTTAATCCCACTTCACTTACATTATTTCAGAGTGTAGATAGTCGCTTAGCATCTGTCTCCTTTATGGATACCTGTAGCAAGTTCTCCACCATACATCGATGACTTTATTTTTCATCTTTTCGAAGCAACAAATATTACTACAGGCACAGGCTATGCGTTCTAAGATGGATCCCTGGCCGTCACCTCTTGAAAGACTTCTGCTGTTCGAGGGATTACCGCCGAGGTCCGCCAGGGAGTACCTTGCTCTGCACTCTCAGCAACTTCTAATTTTAGCATATGCATACTTCGCATCACAGCTTGGTTAAAGAAAGAATCCTTCCGGGAATTCTCGCATTCCTTCTTAACATGAATGTGGAATCAGTTTTTGAAGAGGAATTAATCTTGCGAAAACCACACACTATGGACGATCGAAGGTAGGTCCGCGGAGCCAAAGGCGGGCATGGAAAGAAGTCCGCCTTGGGGCGGCTACGTATCAGGCGACGCAATGAAAGAATCGGGTTAAAGCGTGCGATTTCGGAGAGTAGAGACAAAAGGATCGATAGAATAGGATGCAGTAGAAGTGTGAGATGTTGATCTGAATAGAATTCGTTTATTGCGCAGACAGAGAGTAGTCCGACACGGAAAGTACAATTCGTCTTCTTGGAGTCAGTGAGTGACTGACCAAGCTATTGAATATTGGATTCCGACCTCGACTATTGGCAGCGGTCATACAGCCTGACCAGAATAAGCAGATGTAGGGACTGACGAGAAAGTAGCATCAGAATGTGTAACTAGATACATGCCTTGGGCTAGCTCAGGAGAGTCGATCGGGCTCATCATTAGCACGAAGCGACGGAGGAGCTGCGGTGGGTGAAGTCGAGCAGGAAGGGGTAGCTCGCACGATCACTAGCGATTGATGACGACTTTTGGAGAACCGGTAACAACGAAGATGCCAGACCCTGGCGGCATCTGATGAGGGTTATTACGGAGCTTTTACACAGTCTGGGTATGTGATTATTGAGAACTTGTAACATATTTCTTAAACATAATTTTCTACGAAGAACCTATCTTCGAGAACTAGGATTTTCCAGGCCTTTATGTTAAAGAGCTTCCCAAGAAGTCGCATTTGCCACCTTACACCCTCTAAAGGTTTTTCAGTGTCGCGATAATCTCGAGTAGAAGTTTGAAGTATGACTGAATAACCAGATCTAGACAATTTTATAGTAACATAGTCATCTTCTCAAAAATTTTAGGGTTATCTTTTGACAATTCAGGCAAGCTACCTGCTTTTTGGTGAGACTCGACGTCGAACAGGCCGAATCCATCTTAGCATCACCGCCCGAGAGCCATTCGGCGTGAAGAGTGGTGTGCTTAGTATGAATGTGAGTTTCAGGTGTGCTCCTTTTTTCTCTCTTCAATGAAAATAATTCCTGTTTAGGGGCTCCCGTTGGCCTCTATTCTTAACCACAGCGAGCATGTGATCAAAGCTGATGTCACGGCCAATGCTAACATTATTATTACTCACGTTGAATGGCTCCTGGTGAGTTTTTTCACAGTTCAGCCAGGCGATCGGTCTTGTAAATTTTGCATAATTGGTTTTTATTTTGATCTCTATCGGGTGTGTTTATCTGCTAAGGTGAAGAGTGGTGTCAGCTCTGCTTCCAATATCAGAGATCGCAACCAAGTTAGAGGAGAAACCGGTCGTTAGCAGGAGTAAAAAATGGTTCGGTTTTGCTCTATAACACAAGAATAATAATTGGGAAAGGATGTAAATATTACAACACTTGTCTTTCGATTTTTTCTGACTGCGAAATTCGGTCGGTAGTATGTATATTCAGCATTTACGTCCTCCACACATTTCCTCACTACGTTCAGATAGCTTTTTGCCTCTTCTTTAAAACGAAAGCGGCTGCAAGTTCAAAAGGGATCAGCTTGCTCCGAAATTCCTAAAATTTTCTTAGTGGAATATCGGCATGCTAGCACTACAGCAATGTCGTAAAGGAAGTAAGCAATGTCGCGTTATGGGCGTTTGTGAATATCTGTGGCGGGTGAAATTCGAAGTTCTGCACGAAGTCTTCGTTCCCCTAGCTATCGTTCCAGTGGTACAGAGTCCGACGCGCGGATGAGGTATTAAGGATGCTCCTCAAAATCGAAGGCGCTGGGGCAGATGGAGCACGCTGTAACGAACGATGCTTTTCTCGTTGACATAATGCAGACGTTGTTGATGCCGACGTAAAGTCATGTACAGAGTTATATTAGTAGTGGACAATTGTTTGAAAAACGGATTGAAATGGCTGAAGTTTTTCGGATATGCAGTTGATTAGTATGTGGCATATTTGTCTATCCACTGCAAGGGAGCCCCGAGAATGACCATTTTTTCTTAGTCAAAGTTGGAAGGAAGGTTGCGAGACTGTCGAACCTTATATGTAATCCCCTCATTCACTGCGTTCAATAATGATACAGCCACCTAAAATTTGTTCAAAAACTAAAGTTTATAGAGTTTCTGAAAAACTGTCCAGATAGAAAATGTGACAAATTTCATGGCGAGTTCAGATATCAACACAAAAATCCATGTCGAAAACACTAAAAAATTTTGTGCCTTTTTTCAGAAGAGGTCGATTTTCCTATGTTCAAAAATGATACAGCCACCCCGTGTTTCTTCGTTGAAATTCATTTTTGCTTCATGAAAACGATTCGCAGTATCAGGCTTTCATCTTGATGTGGTGTTTTTCAAGAAAAAAAAAAAAAAAAAAAAAAAAAAAAAAAAAAAAAAAAAAAAAAAAAAAAAAAAAAAAAAAAAAAAAAAAAAAAAAAAAAAAAAAAAAAAAAAAAAAAAAAAAAAAAAAAAAAAAAAAAAAAAAAAAAAAAAAAAAAAAGGAAATCGAAAAAAACAGGCATAATGTGCGAGAACTGATTCAAAGCTCTAACACAGTGAACAATTTCTCCTGGAAATCTGTAGGTCATGGACCAAAGAAGAGCCCTGGATCGTCTTTGCTTTTGGTGAAGTTAAACTCCGAATTTTGAGGAAACGTTTCGATTTCATCGAACACTGCCCGGAATTTCACTCTTCTTTCAAATTTAATTTTTCAATGGACACTGTCTGGGATAGGACCTTCCGAGATCGTTCTTCAGTGGAGAATCGGCGAGACCTTGTTTGTGAAGGAATTCAATTCGAAAACCGAGTCATTTTTGCTTGAAAATGTGGTCACGTCGACTGGAGCAAGATCAGTTCTTTTGTCTGTTGTGCCTTTCTGTCTGCGTTTCTCTCGATGTTTTTCGCTTCATAGAATTCTGATGAAATGAAAAACCTTCATGAGGAAAGGAAAAACTCGAAAGAAAGTAAACAGAAAATAAGACATAACAGACAAAAGAACTGATCTTGCTCCAGTGGACGTGGCTACACTTTCGAGCAAAAAATGACTCAGTTTTCGAGAGAATTTCTTTTCACAAACAAGGTTTCTTTGAATTCTCCATTGAGAATGATCGGAAAATCTTAAAAACGTCCCAAACAGTATCCATCGAATGTTCAGGTTTGAAAGAAGGCTGGAATTCCAAGTACTGTTTGATGAGGATGAGCATCCAGAGCTCTTCGTTGTTCCATAACCTACAGGATTCCAGGTAAGATTGTTAATTGTATTGGAGCTTCGACTCAATTTTTTGCAATATGACTGCTTGACGATTCCTGGTCCTTCTTTGCTACAGTTTACCTTTTTTCAAAACCAAACTGTCTTTTTTATCTTGTGGGAACATTAAGGTGAAAGCCTGATAACTGCGAATCAGTTTCATGAAGCAAAAATGAATTTCAACGAAGAAACACGGGGTGGCTGTATCATTTTTGAACATAGGAAAATCGACCTCTTCTGAAAAAATAGCACAAAATTTTTTAGTGTTTTCGACATGGATTTTGTGTTGATATCTGAACTCGCCATGAAATTTGTCACACTTCTATCTACAGTTTTCCAGAAACGTTATAAACCTCGAGTTTTTGAACAAAATGTAGGTGGCTGTATCATTATTGAACGCAGTGTATTAAAACAGTAGTTTGGTGTGTTTGTTTGTCCAGCAGTCTATGACTTGCAACGAAGACCCAGGAAAATTGTAACTTGATTGAGTGCTATAGTGGAAGTGCAATTGGGTGATATCATTGCTATCGATGGACATCGACTTAAAATTCCGGCTCATCACAAGGTCAAGGTGCGACTTCGGCTCCAGAAACCCTGAAACATGGCCATCGATCATTCGCGCCTCTGCCGTCAGGGACGATTCACTAGTCGAGACTAATCCCCGATTGGGGAAAGTGATCCTCTGATCACTTTCTACCCTGGGAAGAGTACAAGAGTAATTCAGTAGGCTCCCCTCGCTTTAAGGGACACGCAGTCCTTCATTTCATTCGCTGGGAGCATTCGTGAAAAAGTCTGACCATTGGGCGGCGGTACTCCTGGTGTTCGTTGAAGTTCCGACAAATCCAGTCGGTAACCGCTCTGATCCAATGGTCATCACGAAATAGTGTGACGCTGGCTCACCTAATATGTGACGCTGGCTCACCTAATATTCGACCATGGTGTAGTTTGTGCTCTAGGACTCCCTCTAGCGCTTGCGTGTATAGGGGACTCCAAGGATCTTCTTATTCACAGCGCATTGAATTGCGTTGAACGCATGCTCCTCCTGCCTGTGAAGAGTCCAACCCTAAGGTATAGGTTAGGGCTAGAGCCTGCAGAATCGAAATGGTGGTCTTGTCTTTCGTTTCTTCTACTGTCGCGATAATTTTCACGCTCTCCATACCGTTCTTTTTCTCCTGGGTACCCGACAGTTAGTCGTGCGGCGAGAAGGCTGAGACGACGGATCGGCGGACGAGTCACATCGCGTTCTGTTGTGTAGGGCGTACAGTATGCGCTGTATTTACTAGACGCAAAATTGCTGCAGTAGTGCTGCAACGCGCCCATTGACCCAACTTTGTCTCTGCCTTCTGGCCGCGCGGTGAATCTCCTGTTGGGTACTCTTTCCTGCTTCTACTTTCTGCTCCTGCTTATGGTCTGGGTCGTTCATCATTTGAGTTCCGACTATGAGCACATGGCTAAAACACTCAGAAATGTTCGTACCGTGGAGCGTGAAAGGGACATCAGACCAATCTGTTTCCTATAAACATAATTTTCGTTAGGTTCAGCTGCGTACCGACTTACCGGCATTCGATCTGCTTGCCTCGACGTTCGGCGTCATGAAAATAACATTGTTCAAACGGATGGCGTGGGTGTAATTTACGGCCGTTGGCCTTCACTCCAATGTCTTCCCTCCAGTTTCCGCACGACGTGCTTAGCGGCATCGAGTAGCATCGGGACATCGCCCTGTCGAATCCCCTCGTCACGTCGATCGCGACGTTCCTTTAGAATTGTACAATTGTGTTCGTGCTCACAAAGGATCTTCTCAGAGTTGGGATGCCGTGGTTGCTCAAGGCTTCGATGACCGCTTCCGTCCAACAGACTCGAAAGCTTTCTTCAAGTCGTGAACGTGGGAACGGCACCTTGTATTCTCGAGAACTTTAGTAAGTTTCTGCGCAAGGGAATCGCATCCATTCGACAGAACTGATCACTCCAGTCATACGATGAAGTTAGATGTTAGGACTGGTGTGCTTGCCGGTCCGTGGGCATGTTTTCGGCTATTTACATAACCTTTTTACTTCGAATGATTTTTCGTCGATCCTAAAAGTTCCAGAACGTGCTTAATTTTGTAATTGAGGATGTGTCTGCAATTCATTTGTTTCAGGCTGATGTCATATCACCGGTTGGAGAGCAGGTTTGCGCAAAGTCAACCGAAGGTATGATAATACTGAGTAAAAGAAATCTTGACTAAATTATTTCGTGCTATACAGCCGAGACCAAGAGGATTTGATTGTGCTGATGGCCTAGTATTTCGCCCTTGTTTTCTTCAAAATCTTCAATGAAAAGTAAATGTGGTTTGCCACATCAAGAGAATTCGCTTCATTTCTCAGCTCAAAAGAGCCGAATCATTGTTGTCCAAATGAAGTGATTATATTATCATCCCTTTGCTTGATTGCACAAGGCACGACGACAGTAACTTACCGAAAGTCGAATATCTTTTCGGGTGATGTAGCAGCCATTTTTTAGATTGCCTAATGGAAAGCGAGGTGATCAGCTACTGCTGTGCTGTCACCATTAATGCCTCCGAGGATGACATGGAGACACCGCTAGGGCGGTTAGCGATTGAGTGGAAACGGTAGGTGTACTAGTGATGCCTATTCTCATTAAATGCTTTGGCGGTGGCCGCGCAGTTCGCCCAAAGAGAAACTGGAGAGCCACCGCCAAATTCTTTGTCTTACACTTTACTTTATTTTTGTCTTGTACTTTAAAACTCTGAGTTGTAGACGAGTAATGCTCTTCAGTGAAATACCTAAATACATGTCGGTGCAATGGCAGGTGTGGTTTTGGGAAACAAGTGAAAATTAGGAATTCTCTACTTTGGGTGCTTTAATTGGTTGCGAAGAAATTCAAAGACTACTGAATATGTTCCCCTTGCAGATTAGAGGTCCTTTTATGTCAGAGATTTAGCACGATTTGTCTTGGAACGTGTCCTTTTAACGTTCCTCTATATTGTCTATAAGGTTGCTTCCGGGGGTACTCACCCAGGTAGCACGAACATCTCATCCGTCTGCAACTCATATCATGGTCACAGGTGCGAAACGAAAGTGATGAAGTTAGCCCAGGCGCTTTTGCGCCGAGCAGGTCTAGTACTCTTGATCTCCATGTAAGGTCCCCGTGGCCTGATTTGTAGCCAATTTACCATTGGGAAGGAACTTTGCGACGAACTTATTTTAGAAGAGAGGGGCAGAAAAGGGTAAGTAGTGCTATAAATATTAGGTTGGAAGGAAAGTTCTTGTCTTTGTGACAGTTCAAGTTTCCGTGCATAAGTTCTTATTAACCCATTCGTGACAATGGCAGCCACCGGTGGCTGACAAAGATCTCACTTGTACAATGGTATCCACCGGTGGCTGCCGTGTTTCAAATGGAATTTGGAAAGTTTTCTTTCATGAAAAGAATCGTCATATCCTCATTCATATATGTG